AAACAGAACCTCAGTCCGATACACAAGGATTTGATGCTCAAGAATCTCATGAATCCTGTTCAGATGTTGTGTCTCCCAGAGTGAAGAGTGAAAGTGATCTGGACTCCAGCTACACTGCAGATCTGTCCAGGATTCAGTCCCTCAGCACTGCAGCACCGGATACTGAGTCCCATCAGGAGTCTGACCAGATTAAAACACAGACCAAACGACCACATAAGGTCCATGCAGGAACTGAGGCGAATCGTGACCAGATCCACACAGGACAGAGACCATACGGCTGTGAACAGTGTGGGAAGAGTTTCAATCAGGCAGCTAATCTCAGGAATCATGAACGGATTCACACAGGACAGAGACCATACTGCTGTGAACAGTGTGGAAAGAGGTTTATCCAGGCAGGAGCCCTCAAGTGTCATGAACGGATTCACACAGGGGAGAGACCGTACTACTGTAAACAGTGCGGGAAGAGTTTCAGTTCAGCAGGAAATCTCAAGATTCATGAACGGATTCACACGGGAGAGAGACCGTATTGCTGTGAGCAGTGTGGGAAGAGTTTCAAGCAGGCAGGAGATCTTGGGCGTCATGAACGGATTCACACAGGAGAGAAACCGTACTGCTGTAAACAGTGTGGGAAGAGTTTCAAGCAGGCAGCAAATCTCCAGATTCACGAACGAGTTCACACAGGAGAGAGACCGTACTGCTGTGAGCACTGTGGGAAGAGTTTCAACCAGGCAGGAGCCCTCAAGTATCACGAGCGAATTTACACAAGACAGAGACCATACAGCTGTGAGCAGTGTGGGAAGAGTTTCAGTGAGGCTGGGTCTCTCAAGTGTCACGAACGGATTCACACAGGAGAGAGACCGTACTGCTGTGCACATTGTGGGAAGAGTTTCATTTTGGCAGCACATCTCAGAGTCCATGAACGGATCCACACAGGAGAGAGACCGTACTGTTGTGAACAGTGTGGGAAGAGTTTCAGTGTGGCAGCAAATCTGAAGATTCATGAACGAGTTCACACAGGAGAGAGACCGTACTGCTGTGAGCAGTGTGGGAAGAGCTTCAATCAAGCAGCAATTCTGAAGAATCATGAACGGATCCACACGGGAGAGAGACCGTACTGCTGTGAACACTGTGGGAAGAGTTTCAATCAAGCAGCAAATCTCAAGATTCATGAACGGATTCACACAGGAGAGAAGCCGTACTGCTGTGAGCACTGTGGGAAGGGTTTCCACCAGGTAGGAGCCCTCAGAAGTCATAAACGGATTCATATGGGAGAGAAATCATTGTAGTGGAAAAGTATATTATTTTCCTTAGAATTAAGGATTAGTAAACACATGAGAAGTCTTCCTTTTGCGTTGACAAGCATCATGGGCTTTTATGTTAAAGCACAAGAATGCAAGAAAAGTGCAGGACTGTCTGTGATCAGGTCCTCACCTATCGCCAGTTGTAATGTCTTTCCCAGCCACTCCCAGCACAGAGCAAGCAGCTGACCACTCAGATCATGCTGGGCCAGCAGATCTTTGAGTAGCAAACGTCTTTATTCACATTATGATTGTAATTCTTGAGACTTACCAAGTATTATTCCAAACGTGAGTTTTAATCATGTGCAGTCGTAACTGCATATATATTGTATCTGAGAGTATGTGTGTGATGAAAATATACGAGAGGGATAAAACCTCTGAACTTGACCGCAGTGCTTTACAACCTCTTCTCCTTTCTGATCCCCCCCAAAAATCAATCTTTCAGATCGCAGCAGGTCAGTTCACAAATATATTCTGTTATTTGTGTTTTTATGCATGTTTTGCTGTTGGAGTCTAAATATATAATAAACAATTTAATAAACGATGTGTGAGATTGTAACTTGTGTTGGATTGATTCTTAAATGTTGTCAAGAACTGTCAGAATTTACTGTCACAATTTCCAAGTGTTGCTCTACATGAAGACCCTCAGCTGACTTCCCTGTACTGCAGTGAACAGTGTGGGAAGAGGTTCACCTCGGAGATGGCTTGGAGCGACTGTCTCCAGCAGGGATGCGCCAGTACCCCACAGAAGGCAGAACTGCCTTTTACAGAAAAACATGAAAAACCTTGAGAGGCACATTTATTTTTAATAAAATGTATTTTTCCCCTTTTAGGTTGGGCTCAGCCTGCGGGTATCCACTCCTGTCAGAAAGTTCAAGTTCAAGTTTATTGTCATCACACTCATATACATGGTATATGGTATAACGAAATGCTATTTAGCTAGCTCTCGGACATGAGTAGTACAAAGAGAAAAAAAAAACAACAACAATACAATTGTGTAGCAAAAGAAAGACAGAGACAACAGGCAGTGTGCAAAAAACAACAACAGACGACGTGCAAAAAAAAACAACAACAGGTAATGTGCAAAAAACAACAACAGGCAATGTGCAAAATAAAAGTGTGCACGTGTGTCAGAAGTGGAGAACAAGACTGTTAAACAGGAGCGAAAATGGGTGTATCTCACTCCTGTGACCTGTGAGCCCCCGTTTATCAAAGAAGGGTTTGAATATTCCAACTCAATAAGCTTTTCGGGCACGATTGCCAAAGCAGGTACAATTAAACAGCATGATTTAGTTTTCACCGTTAAACCCCCATGGACCCGATGGACTGGACTGCTGGCCAGGGTCTACCCAGCCTGTCGCTCTGGCCCCGCCAGCCACCTTGAATTGGGCCGTGTGTCAGAGTCTTCACTGAATTCATCCGGACAAACACGCAAACTATCTCATATAAATCCGGGACAGACCAATATAATACAAGCTTTTAAGCAAACAAATCATATTATTGCATTTAGTAAACGCACTGTCGTGTAGTTTTTTATTTCTGCTTATAATGGTAAAATAAGTCAAATATAGTAATATAGTACATTACTGCCATTACTCGTCTCAGCGCTGTAAGAGCTGTACAGGAAGGGGGCGGGGTCTTTCCCTCTCTCAGGGCGGGACTTCCTGTCTCGAGCTGTTGGAGCCCACAGAGGGTCCCAGCTCGTGCCAGTGGGGCTGCGCTGTGCAGGGTCTCGCCTGCAGGTCCGTCCCGCTGGAAGAACAAGTGTCCCTCCATCAGGAGAACCGGACTCCCTGAGCCGCCCTGAGCGGGTCCCTGCTGGGCCGGTGAGTCACGCTGAGTCCGAGTTTAACCGAATCAGTTACTGAACTGAATGGGTCAATGGCGACAAACTTCCCCGGGTTCAGCCCGCCGCTGCGTCCGACGTGTCGCGGTTTAGCCGGTCCGGTACTTTCCGGAGTTCGAGAACACGAGCGGGACAAAGTCGGAGCTCAGCTGGACCTGAGCGTGATCCGGCGCCCGGGGCTCGGCGCTGTTGTTGTTGTCGCACTTGGCCCGAACGGCAGGGGGGCTGTGCATCGGAACACTTCATCTGATCAGCGGGTTCATCTGCGATTATTACTGTGTCTGTTCCTTGTTTATATCGAAACTACATTTCCTGCCCAGGTTAATGTTCGTGTTCGGGCTACAGTTCGCCGGGTGAGGGCGGGTGGGTATTGATGAGAGACAGTTAGTCCCGAAACCGCTGCGCGACTGTCCTGCGGCGGCTGCGATCTCGTTTGACCAGACACTCCTGACTCACAGGCGGGCACGTCGCTCCTGCTAAATCGTGACAAAAGACACCCGCTCAGGACCCGTAAAGTAGTTTACTTTTACTTTGAACAGAACTGGAAATTACATTTCTAAAATGACTTGAGCAAAAACACAGTTTCTTCTGAGTATTTCGATTTTTTTAAGGTGATACATTTCTGGAGCACGGCGTGCCCTTTTGCTGCCTTTTCAGACCTTTCAGTTTCTCTTGAAATAAACTTTCCTCTCTCTCTCCTCCTCCTGTGTCAGTAAGGGCTCACATCTTCGGATTAAGTTCCAAGGTCTTCCTCTCACTGTGGGGGAGGGGCTCGCCGGTGTGTTGTTTTGCTAAGTGGTAGTTGTCCCTTACGATGGTACCTCCTGACACTTGTGCACAAGACAAGTAGGACACTGTATTCATTAAACAGAAATAATACAGCAATTCATACATCTTCAAGCTGTTTTTTTCAGATGGAAATGGTAATGTGGTTAGGAAGGTTATGCAGCGAGAAAGGAATAAGTATTTTGCAGATAAAAATGTTACAGAGTTGTCCTGATATACACTGTGTTGACTAATGTCATTCTCAGAGCAGGTGGATAATGTCTCCTTCTCCTGTGTGTCTGTCCCCCAGGAGCTGTAGAGACCAGCGCTCTCCCTGACACTGGGGACAGGGCTCCACTGAGCTGCAGCACTGTGAGCAGGAGTGGGGCTCCAGTCTGAGGCAGGACACAGAGCCCACAGCTCCTGAAGACAGACAGGGGCTCCCTGAGCAGCACAGGAC